ACAACAAATTATGGCATTGTTCCAGGCTGTGTCAAATGTTGCAGCAAGTATTTTTACCATTAATGTTTTTGGTTTTTTGGGAGTATGGTTAACCAGGCACCCTTAATATGGCAACCAATTGGTGATAGAAATTATTTTATATTATTATCTTATTATTATTTCTACTCGTTCCTTGCTACAAGCCAGACCAAGGCCACATGAAATGGTCTCTGATACACTATAGATGCTAGATACATATAACCTGAGTTTTATGGCCATTATCTCTATGAGTACCAAAGCAGATTAAAATAGAAAACTAGTATTTCTAAATAAAAAACAAGATTTAAAAAAAAGTTTTTGGCTTGTGTGCCCTAAATGAGGCAGCGACCCTTCGTCACAGGTTGATTATGTCTGAGTTGTGAGCAGTTTCATCTAAAGACGGCTGACAAGACTTTCTCCTCCAAGGTTCTCAGACTGTTTGATTTGATTAACTGTTGGAGATCTGAACAATTTCACAAGAAAAAGAAAAGATTAAATAAGAAGGAAAAATAGAAACAGATTTGAGCATCAGAGCAATTTTTTTCTTTCCTATATCTTTAAAGGGTCCCAAACCCCAGGTTGGAAACCGTTGCTTTGAATCCCTTCTGAAGCCCCTGTATCTCTCATGTGTCTTTTTAAAGCTTGCTTGTTAAGCCCTTTGTGACTTCTGTTTTGAAAAGTGCTATATAAGTACTTTATGATTAGTTTATGCTTATGTCCCCATGGCAACATGCATTGTTACCATGGCAACATGCACTGGATAAAACTGTGTGTCTGTTGAAATTTGCCTCATCTGTCAGGTGTATTTTGAGGTCCTTGGGGGGTTCAGAGTTATTCTTACTCCTTACATTCACATTATTATTGACATATATAATAATGACAAAACAGCTTGTTTTAGTGTTACGTTAACCACTTATAGCACAACATTGTCCCCCTCTGCTGTAACAGTTACCCAACCATATTCACAGCCATCACATCTCACTGCACTGATCTGGGGGCCTACTTCAAGACCACCTTGTTGGTTCACATTCACTCTGCACTGAGGTGTGCTTGTTTCTGTTACTGTTGCTCCACTCCACCCAGCCTCCACCTGCTTCAGTTCTCCTCTGTTTTTACGCACCCTGGAGGGCGTTTATTTCTAAGTTAATAACCACTGGGGGATTATTTGCAATGGTCCCTGCATGTTATTTATCACTGTGCTACATATTTCATTCTGTTACACTGTGTTGCCACAGCAGGGAGCCTTTATGAGAGGAGAACCATATTGCAGAGACAATTTGTGTTTCCATTTTAATTTGCTATGTGACGTGATAGTTGCTGACAGAATTACTCTAAAAATGAACCATAAACAACACAAGGTAGATGAGAAATTCCTTTTCCTGAGCAGGAAAGATCTCACGTATTTAACTTATTGCAACTGCTGTAGAGTCAGCTGAAAGGATCCTTTCAAATGTTAACACATCCAGACTTGTTTTCCAGTCGCTTCAATAATTACCCCTGAGCATAACCATTTCCTCTTCTACATTTATACAATACTCAGAAAACCAGAAGACAAGAACACATCGCTCTCCAGTCTGGTTTTATTTTCTTTCCAATGGTTCCCTGTACATTTATAAACTGATTACAAAGTCTTATTTCTGACTTAGAACATATTACATGGACTTCATCATTGATTTGATTACTGGCATCATATAATCTCCAGTCATTGTGTGTCAGATTCCTTGTCACTCCCAGCATGAGAAAGAAAACAGCTGCCAACCATCTCTCATCTCTCTACAAGACGCCTGCTGGCTTCATAGTGTCTCAGTATTAAAATCCAGACTCAAAGCAGAGTTATTTACCACAACTTAGAACCAATTTTTGATCTTGTTTTTAAAATTTCTTCTCTGCACTGCCTACTTCCTGGACAGTGGTGGTGTCATTCTCACACACACGTAAACACATATAGTCTCATGTTGTATATGCACGATCAAAATCTGGCCCCGTTTCTTGGCATCTGTGTTTGTGTGTTGGCATGAAATGTGTTGCTTCTATTTTTAGACGTCACTATCTCTTTCTTTTACCCTATTGCCTATTTTTGTATGTATTTGTGTTCTTTGTTTTCTCTATTGACTTTGTGAACAATGTGCTCGTTAAAAGTGTTTTATAAATAAATATAACTTGACAGCTGACTGTCTTGGATAGAGCACATTCCTACTTAAAAGAGGAGGAGCGGACAGCTGGTCCCCATAGTTACTGTTGCTATGCCTGTCAAGCTTTCTGTCATTGCACATGTGACGTTTACAATGATAAGTGACAGAGTTAGCTTTTTAAATTCTTGGTTATTTTTCACACAATGGTTCCTTGATTTCACAACATAAGTATACAAAGCAGGCTTATCACTACTAGCTGGTGACTATGGAGTTTGGCAACTACTGCTAGCATATCAGCTTTAGCTAGCTACATAATTAAGCTAACATTAGCTTAACATTAACATTAACGAGTTGCCTGAAAACACCATCTCCACCTGATTTATAATAAAACTACAAATCCTGTCAAAAGGTCACGTGTGCCCTTGATGGCCACATTAAAGGGGCTATTTGTAAGTCTTCTCTTCAGCAATCGTTGCATTTACAAGACACGAGGTTATAATACACCTTCTGAGCAGCGCTACGTCTTTAGGGCAGATTGGAGGCTACCGTCACTCGCTATCGGAAAGTGACATCATTAGAAGAAAAGACGTGATAGAGACAAGAGTTAACATTAGCATTGCTTTCTACCTCCAGAGAAAGCTCTTGGTGAGTAAAGGAATGAAGTTTGATGCTCAACTCACATTTCTTCTAGACCAGTAAGTAGCGTAAATATCTGCCTATGCTAACGCTGGCTATGTAGTAACAGCAAAACTTATAAATAGCTCCTTTCAACCTTTAGTGGCTCAGCTCACGTAAATATATGGACAAGCAAAACAGAGGTTAGAGTTGGTGTTTGTGTATGGTGTTTCACTTTTAACGTAAAAAGAGAAAAGATTTTTAGCAAGAGGACAAACCATTGTTGCCAAATGTTTTAAATGGGACGTAGTTAAACTTGTTTGAACAGTTGCTAGATGTTGCTAGACATCACAAACACGTTCAGACAGAGGGTTCAGACAGTTGAATAAACCCACTCTTGTGACTCTGCATTATGAGAAAAAAATGATGCCTTGATAAATAAGTTGCAGGTTACGTTAGAGCAGATAAAAATGCTGTTTAATCCATTGCTTTATTCTGCTACTAGTCCCCCCTGCACACCACTTCAACATGTGGAAAAATCCAACGCCTGAACACCAGCTGTGCCTAGTTACCGTTGCTAAGTTATGATTGGACAGTATCTGTGTCCCAAGTAAGGGGACACATCTTCGGGGGAAGTGGTCTACATGGCCTTTGTAGCTGTCAAAGACAGGTGAAGGCTGAACCGAAATGAGATGGTCTGGGCTACGGAGAATTTCCACTTTGTGTCAGCAGCTGTGCCCACCCTGCCGTCCTGCCGTCGTCGTGTAGCCTGGCAACCTTGACAACACATTATTTTTTTATTTTTTTTATTTTATTTTACAAAAACAAGGTTTTAAGGCTCTTGTTAACAGTTGTACCGGTAGCTGTTCAACTGCGTACTGCAACCTGTAACCATCACTGTGGGCGTTGTTTGCTGCCTGATTATTTTCATTACTGGCACGCAATGAATCTTGGGATAGGTTGGGCCACGAAATGGGACAGCCTTGTCCTGCTGCTGTGATGCAAAAGTTTTCAAATGCCATCTCCAAAGGATGCAGCCCCTGAATTGAGACAGCTAGTATCTGTTTAGTTTAGTGAAACACTATAATTTAAAAAATCAGCCTTCAAACATTTTTTAAAGCTCATTTTCCATATATGTTTTAAAACTTTTTATCTCTTGCCTTTTGCTTCAAGTCCGTGTTTTTAAACTCTAGACATAACCAAAGTTAATTATCCTGCCCACTAATGAGCTTGTCACTGTTGGATTCACTTGCTAATGTCTGCTGTAGGTCCATTTGAGTGAAATGCCCCATTTTCAATGCACACCGAGTCATTCACTTTGTGGGCTGAAAACATAGATTTTCTTTGTCATTTCATGCGTCACTGCACTTTTGTGAGACATTCCTGTGTCTTTGGGCACCAACAGAAGACACTTAAATCACAGGAGAACACAGCAGCCGCTCTTTTCTCCTGGAGCTCTCCTGTTACTGTCTCAGCGACAACAGACAGATGTGCTGCCGTATGTTTAGTTCTGCATCAGCATCTCTCATCTGTTTTTATTGACATCTGTTTAAAGCCCATCCAAAGAAAGTGCACTGCATTTGAACGCAGCAGCAGCTCACCTGTCATGCTGCATTTGGGTCTCCAGGCCATGCTAAATGCAGATTAAAATACAGAACAAAGCGGGGAATTCAAGATGCATGAATGCCAAATCCCTGTTTTGTTGAATCTTTGTCATGCAGAGGAATCCAGAACCAACGTTTCTCTGCATTTTCCAAGCCAAATAAAGTGAGTAACAAGAAGACAAAACTTAGCAAGCGTTTCACAGTAAGCTACGCCCGCCTCCTGCAACATGTAGGAGGTGGGCAAGTTCAACATCCACCCAAACAAACACAAAATCTTCACAGTTTGATTTTCACACTGAAACTGTTTGGAACTGAGATAATAGAGATATTTCAGATCCTCGTCCCTCAAAATTAACCAGTTTTCAGAGTAGTGGTGAGTTTGCACAGGTTTGTCACTAAAGAATGTATAAGAAACAGCTATTAAATATCCACTTTTTGCTGTCCGCCAACCGCTATCTAACAAAACCCAGACTATTTTAGTCACAGCTTTGTAATTTCTAGTATTTGAAAATTCAGCTTTTTCCTTCCACTTTTAAGAAGAGGATAAATTTACTGGAGAGGACGGAAATTAGTTGGAGGTGGAGAAGTCATGAGGTGGATTCAGTTCTAGTAGATCTCCACAAAAGCTTACCTGTACTTGACTTGATAGTTTCTTGTCCGACTGTTTGTCCGAGCAGGTCGTACTGGTTCAGGCGGGAGCTTTCTCCTTCCACTACCACAGAGTCGGAGGCATTTCGAGTCCAAGCATAAGTCACTTCTGAGATTGTGTAGGCATCTAAAAAGAGAGAGAAGAGGATAAACCCATACGGGATAAATCTGGGGCAGCTGCAGCTATTGATGATTTTTCGAGAAATTATTTCAGTGACCCAAATGAAAAGCCCCCACTACATTGTGTTTGATACTGTGTTTCTAGAAAAAAAGGATAGTGTAGAGAGAGAAAAAAAAAAATCTCTCAGTGGTTGAAGATGTGAAACGCCAACAAGCAATCAATGCATAGTGACATTTGGCCTTTTCAATCAGTCACAGTATACACTGAATATGAATTTTGAAAGCTTGTCTGCTAACCTAAGAACGTCTGATGAGACAGAAAAACTGATTTTTTTCCCGCAATATATTCAGTTATGGAAATATGCTGCCAATCATGAAATTTTTATTGTTGCAACAGGGTAGTAAATGAGATTAATGTAAATACTATAGGTCACCACATAAATGCATTAAAATTAAATGGGACATTTAATGAATATGAGAAGTCAAGGCATTTCAGACATGACCCACCATGTACTGATGCTGATATTTAATAATACCTTGTTTTTAAAAGCAGCTTAAAGCAAAAAATCTTCATCCAAATGTAAAGAAGCCATGGCAATAGGGTTGTGATCAAAACAGATTTAAATTCACAAAATAAAAATATTTGGATGAATTAGTTAGTTAGTTAGTTAGTTAGTTAGTTCCTAGTGACACTTCCACTCAGTCTTTTATCTGTCAGTCATTCTCTATCTGTTTAATTGCTGACGCATATTTTGTTAAAACTTGTAGGGCCACTGCCAGAAAACTGAGCCATGCATTCCAGCTTCACTCGGTTCTTAGGCTGCTCTCTTGCCAAAGAACCAGTGAGGAGAAAAAAAAATTAGAAAATAGCATTTTACTTAAAGTTCCCTCAGGCGCTATCATCATCAGAGTTACTCACAGCTGCCAAATTTTAGTGGACAGGAATGAAAGTCCATGGGGAAATCCTCCAGATGCATTGGGCACTCTGCATGCACAGTTAACCTGCATCCAATTCACAGAAAATTAAGGAGACTTTGCAAATGCATGAAAAGTAAACAGCACAGATTAGGCACGGTCTCAAAAAAAATAAAACAAAAAAAAACTCACAAGCCTCATGCACTATTCAAGATGCTTCCCATCTGTAATGCCTTGAGACAAAAACAATTCATCTTAACTGTAATCAGCAGAGCAAAGTAAACAAGGTACTGCAGAGACCAGCACAAATCAAGACTAGTGTGTGACTGTGGTGAGATTGCAGGTCAGCTATGTGATAAGAACCTGCATTGTTTGTATGATTTAAAGCATTATTCAACCACTGCAAAAATATCTTTCAATATTTTATCTGTCAAATTGACTTTCTTGAAATGCATGTTGACAGAAAGATGCTTCATTGCAAAATAAAAAAAATATTAAAAAAAACAGAAAAATGCATTTGAACAAACAAACAGGATTTTCTGTCTGGATGTGTTTCTGTGAGGCTGTCACATACTTTAGCAGGTTTTCCATCCAAGTCAGTTTTTAAAGGAAAAGTCTGACATTTGGGAAATATGCTTATTTGATTTATTGTTAGCTGATACCATGAAAATGTCTGTACACTCGCAGCCAGCAGCCGGCTAGCTTAGCTTAGCTTTGCACAAAAACAGGAACCAGAGGGAAATGGCAAGCCTTCTTCTGTCTAAACATAATTAAGCTCATTAATTAACACACTAAAGGAAAGTGTGAAAGCACAATGTGATTTTATGGGGTTTAATGTGTTGGGCGATCTGCTGGCTGTAGCTTCATATTTAGCGCACAGACATCAATCAAAGTGAATAAGTGTATTTCCCAAAATGTCTAAAACATAAATACAACTTTACTGTTACTACAACTTTTTCTCAGGACACGCTTCTGCTTGAATTACCTCATGGTGTACAGCAGCGTTCCGTCATCTTTGATCCTCAGCAGTTTATTAGGCATGGTCATGTTATGAGCCACAGACTTTTTCCCATTGTGGAAGAAGGTGTCTGGAGTCCAGATCTTACTCGCCATCAGGTTGTTGAGGGGCAAAATATTCATCGGTCCATGAAATTTCAACCTCTCATCCTTCCAGCTTTGCCGGAAAAAAACATCTATGGTGTACTCCTACGGGCAGAGGAGATAAATGTATTAAACTCTACAGCTTAACACTTTTTGCTTCCATTACTTATAAATCTATTTCCGTGTTTCAGCTTTCACATGTATGAAAATGAATCCCACTCCTTCTCAAAAAAAATGGAAAATAAAGAGACGGCACTCTCCACCACCGTGTTATATGGGAGCCTACAAGCAGCAGTTCTTCACAACTGACTTCACCTGCCACTTTAAAGCCTGGGCACCGTGTGGCTTTCTCTATTTGTCAAAGCTCCATCAAGGTGAGGCCTGTGCTCTCCGTGCTCCACACAGCTCTCTGAGCTGGTGTTTTCCTAAGCTGGCTCTGAGGCCAAGACAACCCCTTGACCTACAATCCTCTGTTGTCAAAAGAAACCACACGAGAAAGGATTTAGGGCAGAAAGCAGTGCACTGTGAAATGTGTGTACGTGACAGAGTGTGTGTGTGTGTTTGTGTGATTCACACACAGTGAGTGAGAGTGAGAGGGACAGATAAATTCCCCCCAGAGTTTTTTTTTCTTGACACAGTTGAGAAGCCTTTGACATTTTGATCTCGGGACACTGAAACTGAGACCAATTAAATTCTTTTAGGATACATCAGCTCTTACAGTAACAGGATAATTGTGGTTTATTACATGGTTTGGGGCTTGTTTTCATAGTTTTCTCCATCTTTACTATAAGTTATGATAATATCTAATATGAGCAGTGAGATGATCATACAAATTACTCAAGCCAACTGTTGAGCTCATGAATCTAAACCATTTCATCTGAAGTGAAAATGAAAAGTATGGTAAATGTAGGTCAAAGTTGAAACTGGAAGTTGGTATGTAATAATTAAAACTATTTGGGTATATTCTTACCATTAGCGTAGTTTTCCCCTCCAAATGATTGGCTAACCAGAGTATGTGTTTAAAGGATAAATTAGATTTGTTATTGTCAACAACAACAAAAAAGAAAGAAAATATAAAAACATGAAAAGAACCAACAATGAATGAATGAATTCTTTGGTATCGGTATTGGTTTTGCCTGTGTAAATAAATGAATAAATATAACAGCCTTATATTTAAAACTTGTCTGATCGTTTGACCTGCTTCTGATTCTCATCACGTCTGACATCTTTTTTAGTGAGATCTCATAAATAAACCTGTGGGAACGATGTTGCCATTAATTTGACTGAAGAATGAAAATAAGACCCATGTTTCACAGGTTAAATCAAAATGATCTTTTAATGCATGGTGTCACTTCACACACCTCACCTTGTATGTGCTTATTTATAAAACTGCAGCCAAACAGTACAAAGCTTTTTGGCATGTGGGTTTGAATCTACCTCTCACCTCTTTGTTTAACTAAAGCTTGTGAAGCTGAATCCAGTATCTTTTCTTCTTTTTCTTTCTCCTAATTTTCTTTCATTTTCCAGCTCTGACTGTCAGTGGACCTCCTATAAATCTTATAAATGCTATCATGCAGCCACCTCAGCAATCAGGTGAATTGCTCTGTAGTATCTGAATAAATCAATGAGGTCAGAGGAGAATATTTCATGCTGTTGCTCATTTTTATGAGACATCTGTGTGAGCAGGAGTAGACCCTGAAGTAAATCACACATTTTCAGCCTTGTGCCCTATTTTGCTACACGATATATTCATTTTACTAATGAATAAATAATAATATTATAATTTTTCAAACCTGAGCATTCACTGAGATGATTATACCCCACTGATTTCATAGTTTAGACATATTTCTGGGCTATAAGCTCCAGTGGCTGTAGCTAATGACCTCTGCCAGTAGAAGTGAAGGAGATGATGTTTTACGGTCAGCGGTTTGTCTGTCCATCCAACTGTCTGTTTGTAGGATATCTTGAAAATATTGAAAAAACAGGCTGAGGTTTAGTGGACAGTGACCTGGATCTGGGATTTTCATGAGATCATTTTTTGGTCTTAATGATTTACTGGTCTGTCTCTGTGACCTGTTCTGCTTAAATGGTGGTTTATGTTCAACTGTGTGCCTTCTACTTTACATATCTTTCAGAGACCACTGCATTGAACTTCAACATCATAACTATTAAATCAATAGATCAATCACTTGGAAAATGGGTCTTCAACAATAGAAGGGACGTTGATGATATGATGTGAAGGTGGGTGCATGTTTCAGAATGATAAACAGGAAAGCCCAGGATAAACAAAGGAGTGACTTGAATAACAAGAGGACTTTCAATAATTTATAAGATGAAAATTGTCAGATGAATAGATGTCGTGCTCTAGTGAGGAATACTGGTCCCACTTCAACATCGTGATGTGTGTGTGCGCGAGTGTGTGTGGAGAGAGGAAGAAAGAGAGATGATGAAATTATGAAAGGAGGGAAAGCCGTAATGAAACTAAAAATAAAGCAAAACCAGCATCTTTCTTCCTTTAGGTATGAGCGGGGAGGACAGAGCCGTCCTCTGGAATGGTGTTGTTCTCTATATGTTTATACAACAACAAAGATGTGGATGAATAATTAAACACAATGAATAAATGTCCGATATCTTGCTCTCACCATATCTGTGTCTGAAACTGGTCCAAAGCTGGTGACATAGATGTTTGTCTTCACCTCAGTTACCCTGTCTGGATAGGAAACAGCAATTAGAGGCATCAAGGCATCAAATGAGAAAAAAAACAAAGTCAAAATGCTGCAAAAAGAAGAAAGTTTAAAGGTATTGACGTGGGGAATATGGGATTTTTACGTAGCTGTTTTCTCTCATCTTTCTGATGATTTTGTTTTGCAGATTTTTAGTCCAGGCCAGAAAAAACTGGCAGAATATTCTGTGCTAAAAGCTTTATTTTTCATTATTTTAAAGAGAAACAAGGGCAATTGAGACATTTTCCAATGGGTTTTGAACACCTATAACAATGAGTTTACAGTTATAATCATTAGTATTTTCATGAAATTATATCCTAGTTTTGATACTATATATGGTCACAGTTTTTCCATCAATAGCCATTTGATGTATTTATATTCAGTGATTATCTCGCTATATGGTAGTTTTATATTATCAGTGGTGGAGTCTGCCATTCACTTGTGGGATTCAAATTACCTACTGATGCACGGGGTATTACACTTTCCCACAACCATGTTAGAGCTGTTACTCAAACCCAAGCTTTAGCACTGTTGCTGCTTGACATTAAAAGCAGTCAACACATGATGGCTTTTATTGTGTAGCTTCACAGGAAATGTAGCAGCGCTGACTACATCAAAATAATGTGTCTGCAAAATAAGACATGGTCATTTCCAGCATTTTTTGACAGAGGATTGGTTTTGAAATATTGCAGAGAGTAATGGAAGAAGAAGGAGCAGCCACTGTTAGAGCTGCAGGCTGAACACCTCCAATGTCTTAGCGAGGTAACCAACTTTACTGTGTCCTGCTGGTGAGTATAAAACCACTTCCACCATGTGCAGCATGAAATCAAATCGCAGTTTCTGTTCCCACCAGTTACACAGATGTCATCAAATCAACCAGGGCTGACATTTTAAGGATTATAAGTTTAAATAACAAGCAGAGAGAAATACATCATGTTCTGAGTGTGACCAATGTTTAGCATATGTAAAGATGCAATGTTTTTATAGTTATATACCTTCTAAAGACACATGGTGAGGGTCAGATTTAGCTGTTTAGCCGATCTTCCTCATGATTGAACCATTTATTTCCAATTTCATTTGTTTGCCAATCAGATGGAACAACAATATATTGTGTACAAACTCGGTTCACCTATACCTCACCCGATTATGGGCAGCTCCTGTAAGATTAAATTTAGTGTGCCATGGTGACATGTAAGCTTTGATTTTAAGCCTATGAAATTTGTCCTAAATGTTCATACTGATGTGACAGATAGGAAGAGCAAAGCCTCATATGCTTCCTATTCAAGTGGTAATGTGCGACTGCATCAGCTCTGCTGCATCAGGTCCATTTGCTTTCTCTACACTCTGTCTCTTTCAATAATTACTGAAGCTCGATCTCTCATGCTCGGCCAATTCAAAAAGCTTTCACGTTTTACTTTACACTCTGTACTACACAGCAAACAGCATCTCACATACAATCTAAAGAGATCATTACTCCTAAGTAAAGTGCTCTCATGCATGGCAGGACGGGCCACCTTCCATGTCCCTCTAACAAGACATATTATGGAAATGCTTTCTTATTTATAAGGTGATGTGAATCGAGAGGAAGTGACAGGTAGGTTGCTGGGTAATAGGTGCGATCCATTTAACAAGACATATGGCGGTGTGCATTTATTTATGTAAACCAGGCCTTGGTGTGTGGCTCAGGCTGATTTAAAATAATCAGATTTTGAATTATTTAAAGAGAAAGGTTCTTTATGGAGCCAAACATAAAACGTCAACCCAGTAAAAATCTGAATGTCTGACACTAAACACACTCATTGTGACACAATATGGTGCATTTTATCATAAGGGGGTAATGCAGCTTCTCAGTGGCCTTGTCATTCACTATCCAGTCCATTATATAGTGTGTTGGACATTTTTTTGTGTTGTCCAAATTTTCATTAGTGAAAATATTCATACCTTATAGTCTCAAATGATTTCACAATATACTTTAAAAAGTTGTGTACAATTAATGGTCACTGGCCAAGAGCTAACTACCATCATGCATTGTGAAAAGAGAGAGAAAAATGCATTTAGATGCCTGCCAGGCCTGACATACTAGACCGAATAGTCTTCAGTAAAATGATGCTTATATTTAGTGTCTAAGTGAATGATTTCACACACCAGCAATGCTTAATGCCATGACATGTTAATGAAGATAACTGCTATTGTTCTCTGCACTTGGTTTCTTGATGATCGACGTTGTATTATATTAAGTATGTTATGAAGATGCTTAGTCTGGTGGATGTTTTTTGTTTTGTTTTAATGGTTGTTACATACATACACACATATAAATATACATATACACTCACACACACACACACACACACACACACACACACACACACACACACACACACACACACACATATATATATATGTATGAATGTATGTGTATGTATATATAT